CAACCCAATTGCTGGGTTTGTCCCTATTTTACCCAGCACTGGGTTGTATTTAACCCAGCATTTTTTAGAGTGTACAGTAGTTTGTCACTGATATTAAAATAGCACTGATGACTTTCTTCTGCTGAAGACAAAAGCCAGTCATGGCCTAATGGTTAGAGAGTCGGATTTGTAACCCAAAGATTGGGGGTTCGAGTCTCTGTAGTGTCAGGGATTGTAGGTGGGGGGAGTGAACGACCAGCGCTCTCTTCCACTCTCAATACCATGACTGAGGTGAGACCCTTGAGTACTGCAGCAAAAATGGCTCTGGGTGTGTGTTCAGTGTGTGTGTGTGTGTGTGCACGTGTGCACTTGGGATGGGTGAAATACAGAGCACAAATCCCAAGTATGGGACACCACACTTGGCTTCACTTTTCAAAAGCAGGTATTGAAGAATGTTGGTAACCAAACAGTTGCTGGTAGCCATTTGGAAGTATAGAATAAAATACTATGGAAGTCAATGGGGACCAGAAACTGCTTGGTTACCAACATGCTTCAAAATATATCTCAATAAAAAATTTTGGGTGACCTATCCCTTTAATATCTGCTAACACTTTATTTTGATGGTCTACTGACTATAAGTCACTTTGCAAGAACATGTCAACTTATTCTACTAACAGTCTAATAACACTCTAATGACTGCTAGTTGGCATGTAGTTGCAAAGTCACTTCAGGTCAGCAGCATGTCTGAGAGCACCATCAAAATAAAAAAAGTGAAATGCATTTAATAAATCCGACATAAGCTCTGAATTTATCCTCAATCACTTTTGATTTTATTCTTTAAGAAGCATGCAAAGGGAAAACACTGTAGCAAAAAATAAGCTCTGCAGAAGAAAACGTTCCGCTGCTGCCAGATGACAAATAAAAAAATCATTTTACAGAGAGTTGCTCATCTTAAGAATAAGCAGTTTGGCATTGTGTCGTTTACCACAGACACACGTATTTATTAAACTCCATGAAAAAGCCCGTAAGACAACGGCACTGCCCTGGCTTTCCTAAAAATAAAAATAAAAAGCATAGTAAAAAAAGGTAAACATTAGAAGTATGCCAGAAACGTAAATTCATCAAATACATTTCCTGTTTCTCTTTAACAGGTGCAAAATTGATACTTGCATTGTGCACAAAATATTCAAGCTGTCTTTAAAATGTAATTCAACCAGTTTTCAAGATGTTTCTCTGGAACAAATAAATCATGTGTCAGAAACTTGGGTGCGAAAAAGAACATGAACGGCAGGCATCTTGTTTTAGTTATAAAGCAAGATTTGAAAGTGTGTCTTTCAATAACGGTGTTACATTCACAAGATACATTTTTTTAAATGTTTTCGGTGATGAATGAATTATAATAAAAAGATTATAATCATTCATCCCCACAAAAACTACTACTGCATCTGTTTGCTTAAAAGAGCATGACTGTATTACGAAACCCTTAAAAACTAATTCTGACGTGTCTGTAAACATGTCTACAAAGGGCTCATTCAACACTTGTTCAAGTACTGGAGTATCTTTATGTCCGTGAGGAATGCTTTGGGAAGTGCAATATACAAACAAACTGCTTGACAGTCGCTTCCGATCTTTGCACATGTACACTGTTCAAATGCTAAAATCAAGGGACGCGCGCCAACTAGGGCGAAGTCTCCTTCAGTCTTAGTGCAGATCATCTCCGGCAGGAGGCCAGTGGATTCAGCTGGACATGTGGACTGGATACGCGAGCCGGACGTCCAGAGCCTGGTTGTGCTGTGCCAGCGAGGTGTGATGGTAGTGCATGACCAGATCCTTCAGAGACTTGTGGAGATCGAACGGTTCGACGAACCCGAAGCCGCGCTCCGTATGGCGAATCACGCAGTGCCTCACCTGGCTGCCGACCCTGTGGATGCAGAGATAAGAGCAGGGCTAGGAGAGCTGAAACTAAAAACGGAAACACTCATGCATTGCTATAAAACTAACCAAAACAGAATCGAAAAGACCTAAAATGCTTTCTGTTTTCATTTTTGATTCTTTAATCATAGCAGAAAGCAGAGCAGAATTGACAGTGAAGGGACAATCAGTGACTGATGAAGAAATATCATTTTACCATCTGTGTTTTGCGGAAAAAAATAAGTCATGGAGATTTGACAGAATATGAGGGTGAGTAAATGCCCGAATTTCATTTCTGGGTGAACTAGCTCTTTAAGGTGGATTAATATTGTGAATCTGTTCGATTAAATGAATCGGTTCATTGAAGTGGAACTCAACAATCGTCACATAATGCAATCGGTCGTTTCTCTCCAGTCTAATGGCGCTTTTCCACTGCATGGTACGGCATGGTACGGTTCACTTTTGGGGGTTTTTCCACTGGGTACAGTACCTGGTACCTGGTACTTTATTTATGGTGCTTTTCCACTGCGTGGTACGGCTTGGTACGGTTCACTTTTGGGGGTTTTTCCACTGGGTACAGTACCTGGTACCTGGTACTTTATTTATGGTGCTTTTCCACTGCGTGGTACGGCTTGGTACGGCTCGGTACGGTTCACTTTTGGGGGGTTTTCCACTGGGTACAGTACCTGGTATCTGGTCCTTTTTTTAGTACCACCTCGTTTGGGGTTCCAAGTGAACCGTACCGTTACCAAAACGTGATGTGTAAACTCTGCTGATCACGGATTGGCCGGAGAGAATCGTCACTACCTGCATCACTGAACTTGCGACACAAACACAACAGAACCGCTAGATTTAAATCAGTACAGCCAGCGAAGGATCGAACGCAACCGTTTTGAACAAACGCTCTTTTTGTAACATCCAAAAAATGGCTTTTTGTGGTCTGTTGAGGAAGTACAGACGTTCCTCTCGTTGATAGCTGAGGAGCGGATCCAGCGAGAGCTTGATGGGGTGACGCGGAATGAAAAAGTTTTTTTTAGGAGTCGTGGTAGTAGAGGCGGCGCAACTATAACCACATGTGAATAATCCCGCCCACTCTAAAGCGGTACTGTGCCGAGCCGAACCGTGCCGTGCCGAGTCGTACCACGCAGTGGAAACGCGCCATAAGTGGCCAGAATAGGATGCAACGTGGAGCAGACTTCACACAATTCGTCAAATGTCTCCCTATATGAGACTATAGCCTCTGAAGATGCCAGTGAAGTTATGGAACATACAAACAAGCAAACAGGAATGCATTTCAGTTCTCGTGTGATTAAACACATGATCAAACACCGCTGACTGATGACTTACACCACAGAGCAGGCATAACAGTCCTTGGTGCTGCTGTTGCGGATGAGGAAAGCTCCAGACGGCTTCCCCTGGAGAAGCTCCTCTGCCTGCCGTCGACCGAGATCCCCCACAAACCAGCTCTCTTCCTCCAGGAGCTCCACACTCTTCTCCTCCTCCTCTTTCACCTCATATGCAGACCTGAGAAAACAACCACTTGATCATCTGGATTTGTCTTGTAAATGCCAGTTCCCTGTTCACCAGCCATCGTCTCTACAGACCTTACAGACCTATTGCATCAGACAGCAGCCAGACGTGTCCCCGCTCGCTCCCTCTGACTTCGTTAATAAAAACGGGAAATTAAACGGCTTCAAAAGGTGCTTTTATATTGAGCGGATTTTTAAATAAGATCAGTGGTGGCAGGTAGATTGTAGAGTTCAAATAAAAATAAGGCAGCGGCTATTTACACTAAGTGAAAATAGCAGTATTTTTTAACGATATGCTATTTACACTAAGGGTGCTTTCACACTTGGTTTTGATTTTGGTACGATTGCGTTCACATCAGCAGCGAACCGTACCGGAGTTCACTTGAACCGTACCCCAGACCACCCCTTTTTAAGCAGACTCGGGTACGGTTCGCGGGTGTGCACCAGAGTTCAGAAGACCGCGTTCAATGTCAATCGAACCCGGGTGCGCACCAAAAGTGCTAGTGTGAAAGCACCCTAAGTGCAAATAGCTATAGATTCTATTTACACTATGTTAAAACAGCAAGATTTCCTGCTATTTATACTACTTGTTGCAAATAGTAGCAATTATCTGCACCTCAGTATTGTAGTACATTATAAAACAGTACGCAATAATAATGTATTGAGCGTAAATTATCATTTTAATTCAAATTATTAAATAGATGCCCCCTTATTGGGACAATAAAACCCTCCCTTCTTTCATTTTTGCTGAAAATAAATGCCTTTCCGATGCGATATGAGATTTGAAAAGGAAGAAAAAAAGTTTGGCAAAAGGTGGGTTCGAACTCGGGTCGATCGCGTCAAAAAGCACGCGCCTCACCATCTACGCCACTGAAACTGACGTCTAACGAGCGTCTTTGTTCAGTGCTGACTAGCCCAATCAGACGTTGGTGGGCGGAGTTAGTGTAAATAGACTCATGTCACACAGTTCAGTGAAGATATTTTTAATGAAACCCGAGAGATTTCTGTCCCTCCATTGAAAGTCCATTCCCCCAAAACTTATATGGCTGAAAGCCTAAATTAAATTCGCCCTTCATCGTCACACCGATCATGTGTCTTCAAAAGACTTGGAATAAACCCCTCGGTTCATATGGACTTCCTTAAGACCTCTTAACTTATTGAAGTGTCATAATGTTGGATAGAAAGCACTCGGGTTTCATTAAAAATATCTGTATTTGTGTTTTCACTCATTCGACACACAGAACATGCAGACTTCATATTTAATTAGCAGTCTTTTTGAGCTTTAATATTCACAGACACTAGTCCATTTCATGATTTGAGTAAGTGTACAGCCCTACTTTTGAGGTACTCATCCAAGATTTGCCAAATTCTGTTGTACTGTAAATTAAGCAGTATCATGGAGACTTATGGATGTGCAACCACTGCATAGGAATGAACTAGCAACCACTGAGAGCACCCTAGCAACCGCCTAGTTGCTACACTTTACCAAACATCCACATAACAACATCCTGATTTTTGCACTGGCAAGCCACATTCAACAATCACGTTACCAGGCGTAATTCCAAGAGAAACCCTGGTGCTCTTTTGAACATATAGATCATCTGAACACTCACTCTTTCGGCTCACTCTGGACTGGGTTTTGGAAATCCTTGCAAGATTTCTCTTGAGAATAGCACTGCTCTTTAGAGATCTCGGTCAGACTGACGGCCTCAAATGGATTTCTCCTTTGGATTTCCTGTAAAGCAACAGGGAAAATCTTAGAAAAGCTGTGTATTTGATATACTTGATATACATTTCTTCTTTTTTTTTTTTTACAACTAGATGTAAAACCTAAAACTTAAATCACTGCCTTTAAAATAATCTAAAATAAAAAGAAAACCCCAAATTAACTAAATGTAGATATTCGGTTCATATTCATTATATATTTTTGTTCCTAGTTGGCAGTGATTAGAAATACTTTTTTTTTTTTATGTGAACATTTTGCATTCCTTAGGTAAATAATAAATATCAGTTAAATCGATATTATTTCTATATAGTTATATATAAATGTAGTATATAGATTTTTTACATGATTATATTTGTCTTAATTTGTTTTATTAAATATTTTTTGTTTTAATATTTTTTAATAATTACTGTACATGACGTAATTAAGTATAGGAAGAACTTAACCCAAAAAAAATTTATAATAATAACTACACAGTATTGTTTTAATATATAAAAACGAATAATAACTACCAAAAAAAAATGTGAAGACGAATTCTAATACTAAAACTGAAATTCAGTTGAAAATAATATACAAATATAAACTAATTTAAAAAACACTACTATAATAATGCTGATTTGAACCTTTTCCATGGCTTACCTGTAATAGCGTAGTGCAAGCATCATAGAGCTGGTCATACTCGGCCGTCTTTTGAAACAGTCTTAAACATTCATGGAGTTTCTCTCTGGTTGCACTCAAAAACTCTTCCTTCACAGGCAGATCCTGAAAATGCAATGAATTTAATGACTAAAGGTGTTCATATATATATATATACACACACACACACACACACACACACAAACATGTAAATATTTCTTAAATATATACACGTATGGGTTTATTTATATATACATATTATTTAAAAGAATAAACAGATTTATACACAAAAAAAATCTTAGTAGATTTTGTATAAATTAGGGCGGTCAAATCGATTAATCGTGATTAATCGCATCCAAAATAAAAGTTTGCATGCTGTGTATATAAGTATATATAAATAAACACACATACATGTAAAAATAAGAAATATATGTAGTATATATTTAAATATATATATACACACACACACACACACACACAAACATGTAAATATTTCTTAAATATATACACGTATGTGTTTATTTATATATACATATTTACACAGCATGCAAACTTTTATTTTGGATGCGAGTAATCACGATTAATCGATTTGTCCGCCCTAGTATAAATGTATTTATCAATAAAGTCTATGATTTCCGTGAGTTTTTATTTTATATATATACACATTTAACATATGAATATATATTTCAGTATAAAATAACTCATGATATATTATGATAAAAAGTATTTACATTCTGTAAAATGAGTTAATATATTTAATATTTCAACTGTTTTACACAGAAAACACATTTAAGCATTAACAGGAATATTTTTTTCTGTGTAAAATAGATTAAATATTTAATAGCTGTACTGTAAAATGAATTAATGCATTAAACGTTACATTTAAAATGTAACTAAGCATTAACATTTTCGTCAGATATACATATCCATAACATCCTTACAATACAAACAGGAGTTGCAAATCGTTGAATTAAAAAAAAATATTTTAACAAAATAAATAACCTTTATTCTAATACTGTTAACCACCACATATTAGCATATATGTAATAGATTTCTACTATGGAGAAGGTTACGATTTGTGAATATTTACAACGTGAAGAGACGTTGACCAGCGGACCTCTGCGATTGGCTGAACTGAAGACTGTGCGAGGCTCATGAATACTAATCAAGTGAAGTGATTGGACGCTCGAGGACTGTTACCAAGCAACGTCAACATTGCCTATTTAATATTCATAAGCTAACGCTTCGCCATAGTAGGAAAGGTAGTTTGACCCGAACGAGCTCCGCGGTGACATGTCGAGACATGCAGAAGCCCAAGACTGAATCGACTCACTTTTATAGCATCCGAACTAACTTTCACAAATGTTAACTTCGCCGGACACTGACATGTTGTTATTGTTGTTCCCGAGATTGACGCTCGTGCCGAGACAACCAGAACAAAGGCAGAGTGACTTGAACAGAATAAACACCCAATATAAACAGATGAGAAGCAAATAATACACGGATAAAGTTACGAACCAGTGCCAGCTGCGCTGACTCGACTCATTTCGATGTAAGAAAACGGTTCTGCAGACGATGACATCCTTTCTTCAACAATGGATCGTGTTGCTGAAGTGAATTAAGCCCTTTTGAACACTGTAAATCGTAACGTTGAATAACTGTAAACGACTGTTATAATTTGGCAGCCAGTCATTAAAATAAAACTTAGCAATAACGCTTATAATCGTGTGCCATGATCAGTACGTTCATTACAGCATTGCTCTAAATATCCTTCTGAGTAAATAAAACTCGGGACGATATAAGTGTCTTTGGACGATACCATTTATTTACATGGGGGAACCTTCAAGCGGGATGTAGTCGTTTTGTTGTTATTATTACTTTGTTGATATTATACTTTGCTTTTGCTTTATAAGACTATTGAGTTAAATCAATTTTATAATTGGTTATTAATTATATCCACTTATTTAAAGCCGCTGTTGTGTTAATGCGAGGGGTTTTCACCCCCTCTCCCCGCAACTATGCTACGGTCCGCTTTTGTCCTGCATCGTGCCGTCGGTAATTTTCTTGAACAAGTTGTTTAAAGTCATAATTCTGCGTTTTCTGCACACGGACACTGTCATTTGTGACGTTTAAGGAATAATAAAAATGTCTAAATGAATAAAGAAAAATGTCACGATTTTGAATCACTTCAATATTGAAAAGGTCATGCTGCACACACAGGGGGAGTTGCTTCAGTAGGGAACATTGTGTACTGTTGGCATTGTCTGCCTTTTCTGCGCTTCAGTAGTGTTCAAACACTAGCTGCTTAAGCCTGCCAAGCAGCATGCTTCTTAAATACATAAAAACTTGTGAATTGTGCTTGCATGATGATATCTTGAGCACGTCTATGACGGAACAGCTCAGAAAGACTGTTAAATAAAATCTAGGATTCACTCTTCGTTTGAATTTGTTTGGTGTTGTGTGTTGTAATAGCAAGTTTAATATGTAATACAGAACTGCAATTGTTATAATTTGGCAGCCAGTCATTAAAATAAAACTTAGCAATAACGCTTATAATCGTGTGCCATGATCAGTACGTTCATTACAGCATTGCTCTAAATATCCTTCTGAGTAAATAAAACTCGGGACGATATAAGTGTCTTTGGACGATACCATTTATTTACATGGGGGAACAAGGGGCGTTACATTTCCGACGAGTGCTTGTGGTGTTCGGCCAATCACAATGCACTGGGTCAGCTGGCCAATCAGAGCAGACTGCGCTTGTCGGAAGGAGGGGCTTTGTAGAAAACGAAGCGTTTGAGAGAGGCGGGGCATAGAGGACCTACAATAATGTACAGTATTTGAAAAATAATGTGTTTTTTGAACATTAAAGCATGTCAACATATTCTGTTACACCAAATACACAAAATAATGATCTTTAAAGTAGCACCATATGACCCCTTTAAGGCAAATGTTATGTGCATAGACATGGTTTAAGGCCTTATAAGCAGTTGGCAGTTTTCTGTTCTTCCATTTTTTCGCAAGTATTACATCAAAAACAGTAATAATAAATAATGCATCATCTTGTTTCATTTCAAGTTTATTCCATCTATTCTGCATAATCTGTGTGCAGAAACGACATAACTGGCATCTCTTTGCAGAAACTGTGCAATGAATGAAGCAATAGCAGCCACAGTTCCTGTCATCAAACGGTCATTAATGCTGCCTAACATGAAATGCATTTATAATATGTTTGATTCCATCTGATTCTTTTTACCAACCTGTTTACATTTACAATTTTTCAAATACAATCCATCACAAACCAAATCTGACCTCCTCTATAGGCTCATTGTTATGTTTGGAATGTTATCGCTCATAATTTCGATATTTTATTTCATGGCGATAAACACCTTTACATATTGAGATGTCAGAATAGAATTCTGTTTATTTTTGCATTTATAGGATCATATCCACAATTGACAGAATATGTTTATGCATTTTGTTACATACTGATTTTCTGTATAGTGATAACATCAGTTTCAAACACACGTCACTGGCTCAATAAACATTTCCTTTCCATTTAATACAAACAAATACATAAAACAAATGTAATACAGATGTATAATACAAACAATCCACTTAAAATGGAACAAAATATCATGGCTCTTGCTTTTAGACAAATCACATTGCACTTTTCAATAAGCACAAGTGATACTGTGTCTATTTATGGTCTATTTATGGAAAACTATGCCAAGATCAGGAAGTGCGTATCCAGAGCCATGGCCATTGTGTTTCCGGCTTCACAACTTCATTTAGTCTCTGTTAGCACGCAAAGATTAGAGAATATGAATCATTATATGTGCTTTGACCTCCACTGCAGTGCATTTGGTTGGTTTTAAGAGCCAACCTCAGATATGCTGTGGTATTATATATGTTTTACATTTCTGAATTTAGGGCATTTTTTGGTGAATTCTTTCTTCCAAGCTCAAATTCCACTCTTATCATATTTTTCCATAGCTGTGGGTAACAAAGAAACACAACAAAACCACACTGACTTACTGTAAATTAAGGCAAGACTCACTTATGGCCACATTATTTTGTGTTTCATAATAGTTCTACTGTGTGAATTTTACTGCTAATTTATCTGTGCTCTTTTACTGAGCACTTTGGATTACTAAACACCATCACGGTAACACACATGAAACTGAAATAATGCAATAAACATTCATTTAACAACATTAGGTGTAACACACAACCCTAATATACAAAACCGATAAGAAAAAACTAAGAAGAAACATAGTTATTTCAACAAAAAAACATCAAATTTGAAATGTAACGCAGGGAATTCTGGGAATGTCTATTTATTGTCTTTTTCACTTCCAAAAACTGTATACTACCGTAAAATTAATGTCCAATAGAGTTTTTCACCGTATATAGTAGGGGAATTTACCGTTTAACAGGTTTTTACTGTAGCATTTTACAGTCTTTTACAGTGAAATTCACGGTAATTTTTTACAGTGTATAATTTGCATGTACATCTGCATCTGCTCCATCTGAGCTGGAATGTGGTATTTGTATTGGTGTTTGATAAAGAAACGTCTCTAGCACAGGTCACAGTCTGCAAACGAGGACATGCAATTCCAATACAAACACTACAGGAATAAAATAACTCTCCGGGGGCTTTGTTTGTGGTTCATTCTGACGTAAGTTTTGTCTTTTGAGGGTTTTTGTTAGGAAAGCATGTGACCTGCTCTCTACTGATAATTGGATCCTAAACACACCTCTGGGCTGATGCTTCAATACGCTTCAGACACACTTTATTACTGGAGTTACTGGATGATTAGTAACAGTTTTGTAGTTTGGTGTGATTTGGAAACCTTAAGGTTTGAGGTGTAAGTGGAATAAATGGTCCATCATCATTGGGTCGGCACACCTCGGATCATAGTGTTATTTAGGATCAAACGTTGGAGAATATGTCATTTTATACCATGTATTTCCTTCCACAAATCACATTTGGTACTGTTGTTTTAGGAATGATGCTGAGCCAGCAAATGAAAGAAATGAAATTGTTATGACAATAAAGAATACACCAAATTAATGCAACATAATCTCAGTTCTTGACACAAATGCATGACAGAGATTAAATAAAGCTGCAGAATATAATAAACATCCCATTCCAAGTCTATATGCAAACACCGGGACAGAATGTGATGACAAACAGCAGCTTACATGAAGCATTTATATCTACATTTCCTGACACAGATAGAGACTTGAGCGTTTACAGCACAGTGAAATCATAATTTCATATTGATACACAACCCCTGACAAAATAATAAATATACAAAAATACAAAAGTATGTGTAAAACACTTTGTGAAATACTTGTGATATAAAAATGCACATGTATATATACATTTGTCCTATATATTTAAATCCATAAATAATTCTCATATGTCAAATTCGACGAAAAACTTTATTTTGTTGTCTATAACACTTGTGAACATATAGCGATCTAAAGGTTGTTTCATCCATATTTGCATTTGAATGTATAGGCTACTGTTAGACTGGAAATAAATCTTTCAAATTAATCTTAAAAATACATTTTTAAATATATGTTGGTATATGAATATATATATATATATATTTCATTGAACTTCACTGTTACTGTATATATATATTTATATTTAGCATACACTTGCTCTATATCTATATATATATATATGGAATTGAATTTTACATACACTATAAAACAGATTTTTCACAAAGCTGTAAATAAAACAAAAAAGAGATTATTGGAATAGTTTTTTTTTACATAAAATACTATATTTTCCTTTTCAGTCTTTTTCTACTTCAAAATGTCAGATTCAGTCCAATGTGTTACTTGCTGTTTCATAACCATTTGTGAAATAAGTTTGTGAAACTTGTAAAAAATTGTTTCAAAGTACTTTTTTATCCAATGTAAAATATTGCATTACTTAGATACTTAGATGGCATTTTTTAAAATATCATTATCAGTATGATAGCGAAAGTTAAAAGCGAGCTCTATTTTTAAATTTCCTTTTTTATTGCGACAACACTAAAAGTAGTAACCAGTATTTTAAAGAAATTATGATTACAATGGTATATTTTGCTACGGCGGCATCCACGCTGCGTTTGTTATTAGTTTGCTGCACGCTGTATTTATGCAGAGCGGTTTTGATGACGTTTGACAAGCAACCAATCAAAAGTCTGATGTCCTGAAGACACGCCCACCCTAATAAACAAGCGTTCCGTGCGTCCCCGAAGACACGCCCACCACGCGTGGTCAGCTGTCAAGACTCGAGATTGTTTACGTTTCTCGTTAGTTTTTACTGACAAACAAACAGAAAGCGACAGTCGCGGTGTGAACAACTCTCAGCTGTACGCAGTCGGGACTAGCAGTACTGTAAGAGCTGTACTTTAAGAGCTCGACGTTAGCTGCAGTAATAAGATTAATCCTTTAGAAGAGAAAAGCTGGCCCATATGCTTTAGACAAGCCAGCTGAACACTGTCACCTGCTGCATCACGTTTATAATGGTGAGTTACTTTATATTCTGTTCACTAACACACTACATGGCGTGTAAGAGATAAAGGGATCTAAATACTACTTTACTTTGGGCAAGTATGATCTCTGATTGAACTTATTACGGTATAAAAAAGGGAATTTTGCATGCATTTATTAGTGTAATCTTTCAGTTCCTCTTACAGTGTTTTACAACTGTGCAGACTATACCACAGTGCATCCAGTAACCTCAAAAGTGCCAGATAC